ACAGCGCTCCTAATTGTGCCACTCCAGCCGGCACGCCGGAGGCTGCGACCCAGTTTTGGTGCTTGTTATGTGGTTCACAGCGGTGCCAACATGCTGGAAAATCTAAATTTAGGAGATAAACAGGCCTGGTGTTACACACCCGGGCAGGACTGACTCTGTTACGAGAGCTGGAGAATCAATGCCATCCACTTCCACGTGTTACAGCGGCGCTGCAAAGCCCTCGCTGCCGGAGTGAAAGCGTTACCAAGTCACTTGGAATAAAATTGCCACTAAATGCTATTTGGGAAATGGGAAAAAAAAAAAAAAAGGCAAATCCTCACTCTTTCTCAGCTATTGTAGGAAATGAAAACGGCTATTGCTGCCTGGTAGAGAGTCCAATTATGAATAATGTGCGTTCTCTCCCTGCACAAAGGATGAAAGGCATCAGAGCTGGTGGTGACATTTTAAGACCGGAGATGTAAGAGCGGATCTGAGCCTCGTTGCAAGCCCAGCTTTACCCCAATAAAGAAACACTTTCTGCAGTCAATTGCCTTGCAGCGTAGCTTGAAGCCCCGCTATTGATCTAGCATCTGTTATAAGCAGATAATCATCGCCACTGTGCCATGGTTTCTATGATGGGGTCTAAAAGCACTTTCCAGAAGCTGGTTGAGGGCTGTTTTCTGCTCTCCCCTGTGGCTGCAGGAAGGCTGAGGTTTGTGGGGGAGCCCACAAAAGTCTTGTAGGTTGACAGAATTTGAAGGCCAGAAAAAAAAATATTGAATCACCCCAACTCATTCATCTCCTGATTCCTGTAAACTTCAGGTAACTGCGGTGCACTCTCTGCAAGGCTCTGCTGCCATCCCAGCCCTCACACAGTTATTTTATACCCTGCAATTTCCTTTCCCCAGCGAGGTGCTGACACGCCACCATCAAGCCACAGCTCAATCCTTTCCTTCTTTAAGACAGGCAGCAAGAGCTGCTGAAATCTCCCAGCATCAGGCTTTTTTCTCCTGTCCCCAAAAGGTTTCTCAGACTTTGGCTCACTGAGGTTTGAATCCTGACAACTCCTGAGCTCCCATCTACTTCCCAGCAGCATGGGGATGTTTTGGGCCAGGCACCTTCCTCTGAGTTTAGCAAGAAGTGGTCAGAGGTAGGTGAAATCAGACTGCCAGTGCCTGCCATCTCCCCCCTCCCTTCCAGTGCAAGCACTTCTTACCCACTAGGCAGATTCCTCCAGTCTCCAAAGAAGGAGAAAAAGATGGGAAATTAAAAATAAATGAACCAAGAGATACACATCCATCAGGAGCCAAGCGTTGTCAGCCCAGGTCCCTGTGCAACTACTTCTTTAATCAAAACCTCATGCAGCTTAAATGCTTGACAGAAGTCTAGAACGGAGATCGTGTTACCCTCAATAGGAAAAGCTGCAACCTTGAAGAAAAAAAATCACTGTCTGATGGGGTCTATTTTCCTTAAAATCATGCTGAATTATGCAAGCCTGTTTCTAGCTGTGACATTTGAGGTTTCACCCTGCAGATTCCTGTGAGACACACGGGTGTCTCAAGGGGGTGACCAGAGGTGATGGGAGGAGTGAGCTCTGGGCCGCCAGCTGAAGATGAGCCATTTCTAAATTGGTCCATGACGCCAGACCTAAATTTTTAAGAGGCTCAAATCAAGAAAAGATTGCTGATGGATGCACTCCCCACTTAAAACTCACTTGCGTGGTGATGGACGTCAGACTATTGGCCTCATGGCTATGCCTGGCTGCTACTGAGAGTGACAGAAACCTTCCAGCTTTCTAGAAAGTCCTCCTGTGCCAAGGCTCAGCCAGCTCTTTAAAGCCGCCTGCATGCAGGTTATCTGCCTCTCTTGGCTTGAAAATGTTTGTCCCTGAGGAGTTTTTATTTAATGCCTTCCTTAGTTACCAAGGGATGAGAAGTTTCTCCCATCGTTCTGCGGCTTTCCAAACACAGATGGGATTTATTGAAGTTCTTGCTGCTCTGGCCTCATTAACGTTTATGGCACAGCTCCAGAGATGTGCCTGCTCCTTGCTGGGTGCCTCTCTACAGCCCCACGGTGGCTCAGGTCTCCTGGCTGCACTGAACATCCTTGGGGAGTTTTAAGTGATTTCATTCCCAAAATGGCTCTGCTGCTTCCTTTTGAGACCTCACCTGTACCCTGTCTCCTGTGGGACCACAGCTCCCAGCAGCTTCTCTCATAACAGACACAGTGGGTGGGAAAGCAGAGACAGCACGAGCAGCAGAGAGGGAATAATATGGGAAAAACTAGAGAACAGTGCAGGAACACATTCAGGCTGTGCCACGGACTATATAACCTGTCCAGGGACAGGCAGGATTTTAAATGGCATGAAGGGGATGGAAGCAGAAGAGGGGGTGCAAGCCCAGGGTTTGGTGAGGAAATGCAGCAGGTGGCCTTGGGGAGACGTTGCTGGTACCTGCCTGCACATGCCTGCAGGTAGGAAGGTGGGAATTGTGAGTCCTGAGGCCTTCTGGAAGAGTTTTTCTCCCCTGTAGAGAACAGGAGGGAGCATCAGCACAGCCCAGCTGGAGTCTGCAAATTGCCCCATTTAGGCTCTGGTCCTCAAATTGCTCTTACCCAAAGTACATCCATCATGCTGACAAGCATCACGTTTTTCTCTGGAGGCCACACTCCTTCACAGCCTCCAGAGTTTGTGCTTCATCCCCAAACTCTACAGGTTTTGTCCCAGAGACGTGGCTGGTGCTCACCAGGTCACCTTGCTATGATCAAGGCTTTGGGATGTGCCTGTCCATGATCCAAGCACTGCATGGAGCCGGGGTTTCCCCACCACATATTTATTCAGCGGCACTGCAGAGCAAGGACAACCCGACGCCAAACTTTGGAAGAGGCAGACCTGGCTGGAGTTCAGCAGAAACAGGGAATTAAGATACAGAACTAAATCAATACATCCTCACCCAATTTATATCCAAATCAGAAATTTCATGCACAGGAGGGATTTTGAACAGCGTCCCACATTAGTTATCGAGCAGAGAGAGCAAAGAGTGCTTGGCACTGTGCAGAATTCCAGTCTTTGCACTGAAGCTCTTGGAAACCCAGAGTAATTCAGATGCAGAAGCAATCTCAGCTGCTAGGAAGAAACTCAAACAGCCAAGGACAGAGACAGTCTGTGCAGGGAAGTAGGGAAAGAAAGAAGAGCTGCTAGCTGGGTGCAGGGAGGGGACAATGATCACATGGATAAAAGGATGGGGAGGAGGTAAATGAAGCAGGTCAGGGAAAATCCAAGGACAGCAAGGGCCACTCTTGCTGAAATGTACCCGACAGAGGGGGCTTGTTTAGGGACCCCCAGAGACTCCTTGCAAGAGCCTTCCATCATTGCTTGGTGCGAGCCACACACTGGGACTGAAAACACCAGGGAGATGCTCGGGGGCTTGGGCACAGCAAGGACAGAGGCACATGGACTGCAAGATCCACCCGGCCCATTCCAGCCGGGGAAACACGGAATGCCTCACTCAGAGCTTTCCCCAACACCCAGCTCAGGCTGTTCACTCAAACTCCTGCTCCCAGGCACAACCCTGCACGTCTGGCTTGGAGTGCCACCTGCTGCCAACCTTGCTCTCCAGTCCCTGCGAAGGGACGACAGCAGCGCAGAGCAACAAACCTTCTGCTCTTCCATCGGCTTTCCCTGTCTTTAACAGCAGCCAAACTCCTGCTCCAAAAAGCAACGCTATTTCCCAAGCTGCAGGCGTCCCATGAGTTGCAGGCATAGCAGCAGATGCTAATAAAGTACTTTTTTCTTCGCCTTTCATGCAGTTTCTCGCTGGAGCCAGCCTCTCCCCCCAGAGACCACATCCTGAATCTTCTTGTTCATTGATTCTTTATGCTAAATGATGACTCCGCAGTCGAAATAATGTGGCATATTCCAGCTCGCATTTCAGACACCGTGAGACTTTTTAATAACGAGTTGCATGAAAAATTAGGGAGGCTGCAACAAAGAGCTCCAACAGAGGTTTCCAAAGTGACTCACAGCCAGTAGAGCCTCCCTTTTCCAAAGCCCAGCGTGAGACAATCTCAAGAGCCCCCGCACTCAGAGAGAGAGGAGTCCTCCCCCTCTGGAAAAATAAGGCCTTTTAAAGGAGAATTCTCCAGGGAGAGAATCCCTACAGGGAGGTTTGGCAGGCAGATTTGGGAATCATGGCTGAGATGACATCCCATTCCCAGGAGTGCTTGCAGGGATGTTTCACCCCATGCCTCAGCTGTGCTGCTGAGGGTGCTGCAGGGTAGGAGTCACCTCGTCCTGCAGCCAGCCTGGGTTTCCTGCTTGGCACGTCGGCTCTGGAATGCTCCAGAACTGGGCTAGCAATGATTCCTGCTAGTTTTGCAAGGAGGCAGCAAATCCCAACAGAAACAGGCAGTGGAGGTTTCTCCAGCCTTGGTTCCCAAAACACTGTGGCACCCACAGCCAGAGCAAACATCACCCATGCACAGGTATCCTGCTCCTCCTAGGCTTGCTGCCAACCCTGCAGTTCTCTGCCAGGCTTTGCAGCACGATGGAGGAGGAATTTTTTCAGGCCAACTTTTGGCTGACTGTTTTTGCTTCCTGCCATCCACACAAACAGCTGCCAACATATTTCAAGGGGAAGCAGCAGGCAACATATCCAGTGCAGCCACCCTGATGGGGATTAATGCCATTCATGCTCAGTCCCAGCAGTGAGCAGTGCCGGGTTGCTGGGTGGGACATGTGGCTGAAGGATGGGTTTGATTCCTCTGCTCCCTCTCCCAAACTCAGCTCCCAATTCCTTCTGTATCCTGCTCCCACCTTCAGCTCCTCTGTGACAGCCCTCACAGTCACCCCCAGCCCCAGGAGCTGCAGCTCAGTTCCCTGCTCACCCACTCCTAAGGTCTAATTGAGCAGAGTTCCCCCCATCCTGCCCAGCAGATTTCTCAAGAGAGGTTCTTCCTCCCAAAGGAAGCTGGGAAAGGAAGGCTGAGTGTAAAGGAGCAGCTGGCACAAAGGCAGCTCTTACCACATTCCAGAAGAGAGGGTTGAAGGCGATTGAGAGCACAGCCACAATGAAGCCAGTGTCGGTCACATCCACGTAGCCAAAGAGCCGCGCCATGGCTGCCACATCCACCTGTGGAAGAAGGGATGGCACGTTCCCACTGAGCTCAAAACAAACCCACCAGCTGTCCCAAGGGTAGACGAACCTTTCACTATGCCTAAGCAATGTGTTGTTACAGCTTCCAAAGTGCTGTCAGGATGCAAAGCCCAGAAGAAGGATGGGGGTTTCTCCAAGCTGTCCCCCCAAACCTCAGGGGCACTGGGCTCTCTGGGAGCCCCACACTCAGAGTCTGTGAAAAGGACACAGGCTCAGAGGTGACACTGCTGCTCTGAGGATGAGTACCAGTCCTCAGCTGCCAACTCATGAGTGTTTTAGGAGAGGGAGCACCGTTCCATAGCAACTCGGGATACAGGACTGTCCCAGGGATGCCGGACTGCATAGAACCCCCTAGCAATGAACTGTGTCAGCTTCAAAGTTGTCTCCCATAAAGTCAGTGATGCAAACCCCCTCCACAGCAAGGGGGAATGCATTTGCACTGGAAGGAGCTGCAAAAGTATTTCCTGTCTTAATATCAACAACAAAAAACCTTTAAAACTCGCTGTTCATCTTTTAGGAAAGAGAGATTTTTTTCCCAAGACGGCTCCCTGACATTGTCAGCATTTTTACATGCAGTAAGCCATGCTGCTTCTCCCTCCTCACTCCCTCTCCCTGTGCTGGTATTTGGATGAAAAACAGCCAGTATCTTTTTGAAAACAAAAAACAAAATAGCCCAGCCCAAGCCCAGCCCTCACTTGAAATAAAACCAAGACAACATTGAGACATGGAAGGTTTTTGCCTCCCCAACACAGCTGTGTTTGCAAGTCCTTTGGATGCTAGGGGACAGGCACAGCTCAAAAAGGTATCACCTTCACCTCACCTGTCTGGGAGAGAAATTCCCACTGGTTCCTCACAGGCTCTTGGAAAGAACCAGAACCACAGTGTCATTCGTGGTAAGGGGCTGGTAAACCCAACACCTCTCCTAGCCCAGAGAAAAGGCTGTGGGAACAGTTCCCATCTGGCCCAGGGCACATCCAGTCGCTCCAAGTGCCTCCTGCCCAGCCATGACTGCCCAAGGTGCAAAGTGCAGGAGCAAAGATCATACAGCCCTGGGGAAAGGGGGGATCCTCAGAGGGGTCCACAGCAGCCCTCAAACCACCGCTGCCCCAGATCCTCCAGGCTCCTTCATCCGAGCCGTGGGGACACGGGTGCTGGCAAAGAACAATGGGAACAGCCCCCATGGCCTGATCCAGATCCACCTCCCCCTATTCCCACCCTCCACAGCCTCTCCTCCCCTCCCTTCTCCCCAGAGCAGCCCTTCCCCACCAGACTTCATCCCTCCAAACTCAATCCATAACCTAAGCAGCTGCTGGCACCGGGGCCGAACTGTCTAATCCCGCTTCAATTGCAATCCCGTGGGACCAGGACAGCTTCTTTCCTCTCGTTTTGTACGGTGCTGAGCACAGTGCTAGCACGGGCTGAACAAAAGCTTCTTGACCTACTAACTCCTGGCAGGCACCATCGTTAACATTGCACTCACCTTCTTTTCTCCTGCTCAACAACCAAATTCGCGGCTGCCAGCGGGAGGCAGATTGGCCTGTGCCTGGCGTGTGCTTTTCGGGATAAAAGGGGAGCCCTAATGGGATGAGCTGTCTCTGCGAGCCGCTGGGACAGCCACGTAACAGGCACAGAACATTCAACTTTGCCCTCTCCTCCACGGTGGGGGGATCAATGACCGTGGCAAGCGGTGCCCGTTTGATCACAGCCCCGAAGTCAGGGAGGGTGGGAACAGCATGGGCAGCTGGGTGAGAGCTGTAAGGACACCCAGGTGACAGCTGCACGGGCACCTGGGTGAGACAGAATTGGGCACACGGGTGAGAGCTGTGCAGGCATTTGGGGGACAGCAATACAGGCACCTAGATGAGAGCTGCACGGGCACACGGGTGAGAGATAAATAAGTAATAAAGGCACCTAGATGAGAGCTGCACGGGCACACGGGTGAGAGATAAATGAGCAATAAAGGCACCTACATGAGAGCTGCATGGGCACTTAAACAAGAACTGCAGAGGCACCCGGGTGAGCCGGTGGCAGCACCCCAGGGCATTCCTCGCAGAGCCGGTGCAGCCCCTGCCTCCTGCTCAGACCGTGCCGTCCCAGCTGGGGCGGAACCGGGCTGGGGAGGGCGGTGGGTGCACCTGGGGAACCGGGCACCGAGCATCCCGAGGCCTGCTGCACCTGTGGGCACAACCCGGGGGCGATTCCCAGCGGATCTACCGAGCCCCGCGGCGGCACCGGAGGGGTGGGAGATCCATCCCCGGGTTCCCTCTCGCTGCCCCAGGCCGGGCCCTCCCCGGGGCCGCCCTCCCGCCCGCTCCCGGCCCGCCGGTACCTGGCCGTAGTCCAGGCCGCCCAGCCCCTCGCAGCACTCCCGCGGGAAGCGCCGGGCCCCGCCCGCCGCCGCCTCCCGCCGCCCCGCGCCCGGCCCGGGCCGCCCCGCCATGGCCGGGTGCCCCCGCCGCGCCCCCGGCCCGGGCCGAGGCCGAGCCCGCCGTGGCGCTGCCGGGAGCCGCGGTCCCGCCTCCCCGGGAGGAGCCGGGCCTGGAGCAGCGCCGGGCCCGCGGCCTGAGGGCCGGGACAGCGCTGAGCTCGCTGTCGGCCCGGCCGCGTCCGCTGTGGGTGCGTGATGGGGCCGGGCCGCGGCGGAACGGAGAGCGGCCCCACGGCCGGGGCTGGAGTTCGCCCGGGGCTGGAGTTCGCCCGGAGCCCCCGGGGCCGCACCGGGAGCTGGAGACGGCCCTGGTGGGAGAGGGAGCGAGACCCGAGTGGGCACCGCTGCTGCGGGGGCAGAGACGGGCGCTGCCAGCCCCCGTCTGTCCCCTGTCTTGTCCCCTGACAACCCCTGCCCGTTCCCTGCCAACTCCGTGCCTGCCCCTTGCCTGATCCCTGACCATTCACTTTCACCCAGAGAAACTCTTGAGTGGCTGCCCCATCCCTGGAAGTGTTCCAGGCCAGGCTGGACTGGGCTTGGAGCAACCTGGCCTAGTGCAAGGTTTCGCAGCCCGTGGCTGCTGGTGGAATGAGATGATCTTCAAGGTCCCTTCCAACCAAAACCGTTCTATGATTCCATGACTCTGTGATCCCTGCCCATCCCCTGCCCTGTCCCGGTTCAGTGCTCACACCAGGGCCAGGAGCTGGGAAACAGCTGCAGCGGCTCCCTGGCACAGGAAATTAAATGTTGCTTGACCAATATTACTCATTCAAGGGCAAAATGTAAAGCCACCGAGTCTAAATGTATTTTAAGGACAATTCACTTCAGCCTTCTCCCTTCAGCCAGTGCAGTATATTTTAGTTTTATTGCTGTTACTATTACTACTCGTGTTATTTTTCTTCTTCAGTCATCTCTAGGATGTTTCTGGTTGATGCACCTCATGGGCTGCAGTCCTGGAACAGTCTGGAAAATAGGGTTAATATTATGCTTGTAGACCCCTGAGGGTCTCTGCTTTTGCAGATCCTGCTTTGCAAGGAAATAAATTCTCTTCTAAAAGGAAATTGCTGTGAATGAGATGCAAGAGTCCCTCCCAGAGATTTCACGGGAGCAGGGAAGGGACAGGATATCCGAGTACTCGTGTCCTGGCAGGCACCGAAAGTATGCATGAGTGATGGCTCACTTCAAGCCCTCCCATGAAAACAGCATCTTTGGAGGATACACTTCAGCAAACCCCAGGGATCCCAGTTTGGCTCCAGGGGAAGCCAGCCTTCCTTAGTTCTGCTGCTCCAAACCCCTCGGTGCACCAGCACATCCCCACCTGCACCATCAGCTCCAGCACACGGGGTGCTCACACAGGAGCACATTCACAGTACAAACCGGGCTGGTTTGGGGTGAGGCACACACCGAGGCACTGTGGGTGGGAGCAGCGTTCCCCATGGATGGTCTCCAGCTGCTTCCAGCCTCTTCTCCCCCGCGCTGGGTAATTTTGCTGTGCCAAGCGTGTAATTATTGCCTCTGCCATCTCCCGGGCTGGGCCGCTGGAGCAGGTGGGAGGATGTTTGTTCTGAGTCCCACTAGCTGGGTGCCAGGAGCAGCAGGAAGGGTGATGGGATGCAGTGAGGGAAGTGATGGTGGCTGGGAGGTGTGAGATGCTAACATCCCTCTCCAGGAGGAATTAGCAGGGAGAAACCTCCAAACTGTCCTCCCGGCTGCAAGGGGAGAGTGTCCTGGTGATGCCAGCCAGGGAAGGACAAGGATGTTGTGGCACAGTGGCTGAGGGATGGATGGTGAGGAGGTGCAGAGGGATGAACTGTCTCACTGGCTCCTCATTCAAGGCCAGCAGAGCTGGGCTGTTGTGGAAACATCTGTCCTGTCACCCCAGTGAAGGCATGTGCTGCAGAATCCAGTGTCCTGCCACCAGCTCGGTTGTGTTTAGGGCTGCGAATCACATTTGAGCCTCCTTGCCATTTCCACTGCCAAATTTCCTGCCCATGGAAGTTTTTCCATGTAAGAGTAAAAGAAGATGTTTTTGGCAGTGGGGCCCCTCCATGCTGGCCTTCATCCCACCTTGGACACAGGAGACAAAGAGTGCTTTCTCCAAAGGCTGGATTTTATGTGTCCATCCCTCCCCTTCTCCCCATGGCATGCCTTTAGTCCAGCTCTCCCTTTCTGAGCACCAAGCTCAGGAAGAGGACATTGCTCTCAGCTTTCCTAAGTGCTTTCTCAGCATGAACTCCCTCAGTGCCCTTTGAAATCCCACCACGGTCCCAAGAGGCCCCCGATGAATATGGAGTTGCATCACAGCAAAGGATGCTGAATGTGTGTTAGCAGGACACTGTGGCTTGGCAAGATGCAGTTTGTTCAGGAGCATTTCAGATTTCAAACACAACCCGGGAAATTCCCCACATGTGGAAATCTAGGGCAGCGAGTGCTATTGGGTGTTTTTCCCTTAGAAATGGGACATTGATTGGGAAATTGCAGTCCAGTAACTTCAGCACAGAGGGACAACTCTCCTTACAAGAGCAGGAAAACGTTTCCAGCCCACATGATTGGTTTCCTTGCTGGAAAAATAAAAGACAAGTCTTGTTCCCATTCCTTTTTGTCCATGTCTCTGTGTCATGGTCCCCATGTTCAAACCTGCCCTGAAATAAAGCTGATCCCTGTAGGTTTGGCCCTTGCAAACCTGCAAGGGCCTGTGCTGACAGGTCACGGAGATCAAGGACACATCATTGAAACGTGTGGTGAAGAACAACAAATAATTCTGGAGGACACAGCCAAAACCTTGGGGAGAAGCAGCAAAATTGTAGCTACTCCTGTGTCCTCCATCAGATAATATACTGTCACCAGCAGTGTGATGCTGCAATCCAAACCTGCAATCCTAGTGGAAATCCTCTAGTGTTTGTGCTGGAGGTTAGTTCTATTTATTTTCTGATGAATGATTTACTTGAGTAATTGGCACACAGCTCCCCTATTACAGATCATAAAGAATTAATCACGAGATTTTCAATGCTCCCCTATCAATTTTATTAGGCTTGATTGAGCGCAGTGGATTGGGAGCATATGGTATGTGAGGCAGACTCTGCTCCTAGTTACACCCTGGTTATACTGAGGACTTGCTCAGCTGCTGATCCCTGTAAATCCAGAGAGACAGCTGCTCCTTTCCTCCTTTCCATGCCCCCACTGTTCCTTGAGTTCCCTTAAATACCCAGGGATACAGAGAACAACCAACACCACCTCCACGTACCTAAATTCTCCAAAAGCCTGAGATGCTCCCAGACTGGAAGCCAAGCTGGGTAGAGGATGCTTTGCTTCTAGCTCGTCCATGTCTCAGCATGAGCCAGAAACTGGAGCCAAATGCTTGGGAGCTCAAGATCTGCCCCTGCGAAGGGGACGTGTCACGGCGTGGGAGGCTTGTCACTGGGGAGAGCTGAGGATGCCTGTGCTGGCGTCAGGGAGTCCTGCCAGCCAGGTTTGCCCACGGGAGATGCTTTCTTGGAAGAGTTGGCAAAAAGAAGTCCTAACACCTGCAGGAGCGGGATGACACATCCCTGCCCTGAACCAGCAGCACAGCATGATTCCCTGGAGCAGAAACCTTCTTAAAAGCCACGTCCCCTGCGTGGTTCCCCTCGTGCAGAGAACCAGGAAAACCTTCAAAATTTCC